ACAAAATAGTCACAAAGAGTGAATTTCAGTACAACAAACGGCATAGAACAATTTTATAAGTCTTGTCTAATTTTTCCCCTTTAACCACACAGACTACAAAATGGCAGAACTTTGGTGATTTAGTGTATATTGGAATGATTGCATTTCTCTTCAATGTAACTAGAAGATACCCAAAGAAAATTTTGAATTTTTAAAGGACAGATAATTAGTTTTAAATCATGCACAAAGTTGTTAAGGACAAAATTAAACTAAGATACATATTCCTAGAATATACACGGAATGCCCAATGGCCGCAATAACATGCATGCACACTAATCTTCAAAAAGTTCTTGGTACAAATTGAAATGGGTTTTGTCTATAAAGATAACCTGGAACAACAGGGATAGGAAAGTAGGGCAGTGTCATACGAAACATTAGAAGAATCACTGACATGATTATAATTTGAATAGGCAAATGAATTGAAGCAAAATATGGTTAAATATACTGCACATCAAATGACCAGTGGACTAGTTCAATAATTTAATGTACTTAAAAATCATTCACTCTTCTGAAATACTAATAATCAACAGTCTTAAAATAATTTTGTAACATTAAAAATCTTAACATTTTCTTTTGAGAAAGAGACGAGACAAAATACAATATCAGACTGATAAGAATCACAAGTTACACATGGTAAAAAGCTAAAACAAAACAAAACAAAAAAAAAACCACCAAAAAAAGTACTTTTTCTGTAAGAACAATTTGATTCACTTATCAGTCTTGGCAAGCTTGATTGATGAAATTCAAAGTTACAAAATCTACCAGAAAAAAAATGAACTCTTACCACAAATGTTTGAACTTGACATTTCAGCACAATGCATTTGGTAAGAATCAAATTTGAGCACTTAAAAATAATAAATAAATATTGCAAACAGTCCCGGGTGGACAGATTGGACGGCCGCACCCGTCATCACAAAAATGAACATATGTACTTGGAGATCTCAAAATAATTGTACAGAATAAAACTCTGCAGAGAAGCTTACATTTCTGTATCCACCTTCATTTCACTTATAGCAAGCACAATTTGTGAAAATGTAGGACGATCACGAGGGCTGTCTGCCCAACAGCGACCCAGTAGTGCACTCATGGCTGGAGTGCAGTTTTTAGGAATTTTCCAGTGAAGTTCGTGGTTTTGAAGGGACGATAGTACATCATTATCTGTTTTGCGATGGAATGGGAACTCTGCTTGGGACAGTATTTCCCACACTAAAACACCATAGCTGTAAACATCTGACTTGGAGGAATAGTCATCTTCAAACACTGCTTCATGAGGTAACCAGCGCAGAGGTAATACCTGTAAAGAAACAAACAGGCTATTTAGTTAGTAAAATTAACATTAAGGGATCAAAATAGTTACCAGTAAAACAAAAGAATACTCGCCTGGTTCCTGTGCTCAAAGTATTCTTTCTTGTAAGTGTCTTTGCACAAGCCAGAGAGAGATATTTTCAATCTCAAGCCAGAAGCAATGAGACAATTTCTTGCTGCAATGTCCTTGTGAACAAGGCGAAGATTTGAAAGGTGTTCGAGAGCTTGAGCAGCCTGATTTGCCAAGCTCACTATCTGTAAAAATTAGAAATAAAAGGTTGGTAGACAGGGATTGAATAAATACTGCCACAATCAGGCGGTTCGAGTATCCATCAAAATGCGCAAGATGAAATTTAGAATAGTGTAAGTACCTGTGCGAGTGTAAGGGGTGCTGGTTTAGGGGGTTGAGGAGGTTGTGGAGACTGTGGAGACTTTTTGGAGGTTTTTTCTCTAGATGCAAGTAGAAACTGCTTTAAATCACCCTGAAATAAGCAAAAAAAAACATTAAACCAAGAGTCAAGTATGTTAAAGATACTAGAGGGAACTTGTTGTCACATACCCAATCAGAATATTGCAAAAGCATATAGTGAGGATCTTGTTCTCGGCACAATCCCAACAGTGACACAATGTTTGGATGGTTTACTCTTTGGAACATATCCAGTTGACGTCGGAACTCAAGAAGTGAAGCTTCATCTCTGGTACGGTTCAACGCTTTCACCATAACTACACCCAGATTGTTACTATTATCAGATCCATCTTGAACGGGTGCTGTGGCACCTGCTAATCCCTTGGCTTGAGCCAAGTAAACCTCACCCATTTCACCATTACCTGAAAGCATAAAAAGCAGACAAATCATTAAGATAAAGAAAAAATACAAAAAGAAAAATAATAAAAAATTTAAGTGTGTGTGCATGCATACCAAGTAACATCAAGTTTTGCAGATCAGTTCGTGCAAATGATAAAGTGTCATAGCTGGTCTTGGATTTCTTGGAGTGGTTCGATGATTGGCTTTGAGCAGTATTTTCCCCATCACTCCTTGCATGACCATTAGTGTGGGCATGTCCATTTTGTTTACTTGATGCCTTGCTGAGTCGTTTGCTTCTGTCACCAAGTTCAGTGTCGCCATTCGCTGCACAGGCAGTTTCCACATTGTCACCTTTACCTACTGTAAGATATAGAAATTAGTAAGATGAAGGATGGTTACCAAGATACCATGCAAGCAAACCCAAAAGAAAACATAGACAAAAAGGAATAGAAAGCAAGAGGTGCAAAGAAGTTTCTAGCAGGTGCAAAATTCCTCCCCCATTTCAGAAAATAGACTTATATTCAGAAGAGATGCATTTTTAAAACAAAGACGCATTTAAAATGTGCCTGGAAACCTAATTGATGGGTTTCATAATAAGCATTAAACAGAAAATAGACAATAGGACAAGACATACAGTATGTGTATATAATGTCTGTACAAAAGTTTCCCAAATTTTTAGACAGAAAAGAAACCCTAGTGTCGTGTTTAACACTTACGTAGGGCACTAGTACCTTCAGCTGTTTCCTGAGCCAGGTAATTCTGCTTCCTCTTCCTCCTGCGGAAGCGGCACCAAACCATCAATCCAATAACCAAAAACATGTAAGCTGCTGCAGCACCCAGTGTTATTAAGACTGTTTTAGTCATCATTGAGTCTTGACTGCTGTTAGAAGTTTCAGGGCCGTCTGGTAGATATCCTTCAGCACCTATACAAGAAGGCAATAAAAGCTGATGGTATAGTGTATAGTAAAAATGATAATATGCTGAGTTTTAAAAAGGAATACTCACTTCGTACAGTCAGAGACACTTCCTGTCTTTTCAAGCCTCCACTGTTTCCTGCAGTGCAGCCATATTTTCCTGTGTCTGACAGATGGGCTTCCTGAATCCAAAGTGATCCATTCTCCAGAACAACAAACCTGTGAAGAA